GCTCGGCAGCGTGTCCTGCCAACTCCTCTGACTCCCTTTAGCCTTGGGACTAATTGAGGCATTTAAATGCCATAGGGTGGAAGAGGGAAGCGTGTGGTCTCTGCTTGCTTGCCTGGGGAGCTGATCTTGTAACTGGCTTCCTGGAGATCCAAAGCCTTGGATGAAAGGAAGGGTGCACGTGGAGTGGGTCGCTGGTGCGCCGGAGTGGCGGGAGCCCTGTTGTGTTGGATGCAGCCGTGGTCAGTGATGGCTGGAGGGCTCCATCCTCTCAGTTCCCACTGTTTTGGCTACACAGACTAATCAGGCAGCTGTAATTGGTGTCCCTGCTGCGAGCGCAGCGGCCCCGGCCCTCAGCCATGGAGTCCCACTGGTGTGTCCCGAGGGACATGCCTCTGCTCCCGTTGGGCCCGGTGACATGTGAGCAAAGCAGCCGCTCTGTGTGCGCAGTGCAGGCTCTTGGCACAGTCCCCTCGCCCCGCAGAGCCCTGCTCGTGCTCCAGCCCTGCCTGCTCCCCGCAGGTTCTTTGCATGGGATGGGCAGTATTCCAGGTGGAGGCTGCTCGTTTCCCCTGCTGGCAGCATCCCCCTGGAGCTGCACCTCTTCCTGAGGCTGCTTGTTCCTTGGCTTTGTTGAGAGTGAAGCAGCCACAGCTCCAACCTGCAGCATCCCCTCCCCTCGGAGCTGCTGCGAGTCACCACCCCCTTATCAGCTGAGCAAAACCACACTCATGATCCTGTGAACCTCAACAGTGACTTCAAATGCCAGGAGGGAGAGGCAGCAGCTACCAGGAAACACCAGTGTGCAGGTGCAAAGCCTCGGAAGGGCAGCGAGATGGAGGAAGCTGAAAACACCACCTGGGGTTGGTGTTTCTTACAGAACCTCTGGCAGGCTGAGGTCCCCTCCAGTGCTGCACGGGAGAGACCAGGCTGCCTCCAGCACCCCGGTCCCAGATGAGGGTTGACACAGGGCTCTAGTATCAAGGTAGATTTGTATTCAAAGGCCTAGTAGAAAATGAAGCTGAAAGAGGTTAAACCTGTAGTGGTGATGGTCACTGCTCCGTGTCCCAAAGGGCAGGAGGAGGTGCTGGATGCAAAGTCCTTCTCCCTGTGGTTCTCTCGCATGCTCTGTCAAAAGCCACCCTGGAGCCCCATTGCTCCCTGGTGCAGTCCCTTCCCCTCTGTGAAGCAGGCAGGAGGCTCCCGTGTGCTGTCACCTTCCCTCCTCACCCCTCCAAACAGCTTCTTTCTT